TGTCTGAGACCACAGATGATTCCCCTAGGACCGAAGGACTCTGCCACAACACAATGAACAAGTGAACAGTCCCACACAAACTCCAAGCTATTAGAAAAGTCTCAGAGACACAAGACACGGGTCTGTTCTACAACAGGAATGCCATGGGACTGGAGGAAAGGACAGAGAGATCGAGGAAAGGAAAAGTCTAAAAATGAAGTTCTCAATGGCACTTACACAACACAAAAAACTGATTAATGAAGGATGTCCACGATCTTCTTCTACTGAGGGAAACAATGCCCTTAACAGTCCCAGAAATTCCAATTAAAAGGGCTAAGGGACCAATAAAAAAAAAAAAAAATCAACTGAATAAACCAAGACTATGACGAGTGATTTTTATCATAGTTGTTTTAATCAACAGTATCACTGTTTTTACTATTATGTTTGAATATTTTTGCAAGTCAATTTTTTTTTGGTGGTGTTGGGGAATGAACCCAGGGTGTCTCTCATAGGTAATGGCTCTATTATTTGTCCCACATCAGCTAAGACTACAAGCCCAACAGCCTTTGTGAGTTTTGACTACACCTATTTCATCTCTTTAAGAGAAAAACATCAAAGTCCTATTTGATATGAGATGCCCCACCCTCCAATGATACCAGCTTAAAATGAGAGATCCCTACCTAAGAATATATCAACATTTGATACTTGGGGGAGATATTCAATAAAGCGAGTAGCAAAAAATCTGCTTAAAATTGAACTAAACTGATTTTATAAAAATGCTAAAGACCAAATATTCAAATGGAAATCTTTCTGCTTCAAAGTATGTGGTGATAAGTGAAGTCTTGCTTAAAATATTTGACTTTCTAAAGTCCTCATAATCTGACCTAATTGAGCTTTACCACTTTTAAGGAGAAACACTAATACTATCCTTTAGGAGATCCCTCACCAAGTCAAAGATGAAGTTTTATCTTTGGTGGTTTAATTCATTTCCATATCACCTCACTAGAAAGAGCTTTCTTAAATAAATACAAAGAATTATGCTAAGGAGCCACTGTAGTAATACCCAATTTGAATTCTAGATGATCTTAAGATGTGCAATTACATTTCAGAAAGAAGGGTTCTTCCATTTTAACTTACACTGTATTTCTCCTAGCAGTCATGAGTTGGAATGATGATGATGTTAAATCTAACTAGACACAGATTTACTACTCGCCCTACTGCATCCCCATCTTGCTAATATTATAAATAGTACCTGCTTTTAAAACTGTAATAAGCTCACCGCGACCATCAAATTTAAAATGCTGGAAATCTATTTGTTGGGGGAAACTGCTCCTAACCATTTGAAGAACTGAAGAGACTTCCTGAACATATAAAGCCACCCTGGTGGGCCGGCAAACTGCCCTGCAGAAAGAGCTGGAGCCGTACTGTCCTGGAATCTTGGCTTCCCAACCTACCAGCTCTCCAAGTGACCTCAGGGAAATTGCTTAAGCTTTGGGCCTCTGTTTTTTATCTGTAAAGATAATAATCTTCCTCTCTCATAGTTACTGTGATGCGTCAAAGAGATAATAAATGTAAAGCACTTGGAATAGTGTCAGCATTGAATACTTAAAAACATTAGTTATTATTTTTACCATTTTATTTTCTTTTACAAGTAAATGCAACTACTCAACAAAAGTAACCAGAATAACAAACAGCTTCTCCCCATCTCTGAACACATGCCATTTATATCATAAACATCCTCCCATACATAATGCACTCTGTAACTTGTAGCACATCAACAATAATGACAATTCAATCCCTGACACCAAAAAGGAAAAAAAAAAGGTGACAACCTCAAATTAGAGGTCCTACAGCACAAAACTGCTAAGTTTAGCCAGTACATACATAGGTCCAAGTTCAGCAGCCCAAGCAAAAGTCAATAGCATATTATGGCTTGAATATGAGAAACAATTTGTAACTGTACAAAAAATATTCACACTGCCAGGCGCAGTGATGCACACCAATAATTCAGCTATTCAGGAGGCTAAAGCCAGAGAATCCCAAGTTTGAAGCAGGCCTAAGCAAATTACCAAGATGATTATGTCTCTACTCCTAGCACTCAGGCTGAAGCAGGAGGCTGCAAGGTTCAAGGCCATCTTGGGATACACAGCAAGTCCAAGGCCAGCCCTGAGCTATGCAGTGAGACCTTATCTGAAAAAAACAAAAAACAGCATGGTAGCACATGCCTATAATTGCAGCACTTTGAGCAGCTAAAGCAGGAAGACAAAAAGTTCAAGCCTGGTCTGGGCAACTTAGCAAGTCTGCCTCAAAACAAAAAATTTTAAAAAGGCTAGGGATATATTTCTGTGTAAAGGCCCTGGGTTCGATCCCCAGTACCACAAAAAAAAAAAGAGAATGGGGGAAGCGGGTGTTAGGGGTGTAGTTCAGCACTCTCTGGGTTCAATGCCCAGCACCATCAAACAAAAAAGAATTCACATTGGCTATCTGATATTATAGATCCCTTCTAATAATTTGATAAAGCTATAAACCCTGACTTAGAAAACATGGAGACACTCACCTGACTTCATGTGAATTCACTTTCATGGGATATGTGGGCCACCTACCCAAGTTTATTCATGGATTTCAGGTTAAGAATTACTATTACAGGGGGCCGGGGATTTAGCTCAGAGGTTTCGCCACTTGCCTCGAAAGCGCAAGGGACACGAGTTCAATCCCCAGTACCAAAACAAAACAAGAATTACTATTACATTTGCTTAGTGGGCTTACTTTATCACTTTGTTTTGTTTTGTTTTGTTGAGACAAAGTCTCACTATACAACTTAGGCTTGGCCTTGAAATTCATTATCCTCTTATCTCAGGCTCCCAAAATTACCACTCAATCTCAAATGGCAATATGTTATGATGTAGTTTAATCAAATTTTACAAGGAAAAATACTGCTGTTATATACAAGTAGCCATGCATGTGTTGCAAGGCATGGTGTTGCAAGCCTGTAATCCCAGCACTTGGGAAGCCCAGGCAGGAGGCTCACCATGAGTTCAAGGCTAACCTGGTCTACATAGTAAGTTTAAGGCCAGCGGGAACTACAAAGTGAGATCCTGTCTCAACAGACAAAAAAAAGGGTAAATATATACAACACAAATATGTTGCTAAACTGGCTTGAAATGATTTTTATTTATTTTTATTTGTTCTTTGTAAACAATTATAATTACTCGATATAACATCTCCAAATTACATAAAGTAAAACTTCTAGGACATGTTTTCTCAGCTTCCCTTGTTAAATGATGGTGCTAACTGGACATTTTAAAGATCATAAAAAGAGCAGTTGCAATTGCATGCTAAGCAATAAATTACTGTTCTCCACCCTGGACACTTTCAGATATGAATTTCCCTTTAGACTAAAAATAGTCTGTACAGATGCTATCTGAAAAAAATATGAAAAGGTTGGCAAGAAAAGATGGGCAAGGGTAAGAGAAGGATGGGAAAGGCACTATGGAGAATCTGTAATAGCTCTTCTCACAATGAAAATATCCCCAGGATAATAAAATTATTAAAACATACCACTAAATCGGTTAAAGTGCCTGAATGAGTCCACATGCCGGACAATTATAAACTGGCATACCTTAGGATAATATTTTTTTAAAACAAAGATATCCGGGCTGGGGATTTAGCTCAGTGGTTCCAGCGTCTGCCTCGCAAGCTCAAGGACCCCATCAATTCCCAGCACCAAAAAGGAAAAAAAATATCCCTACTTACTAAGAAATAGCTCTATATTCCTTAAGGAATTTCCTTAGGGTATATATAAGCTTTTATAAAAATATTTAAAGAAAAACAAAAGTGCCTAACATGACTGTGTCAGACACAGGAATTACGAAGTAACTCATTTTCTTTTTTTCTAAGCAAGTGTTATTAAGAAGATAACTTCACAGGTTTATCTATTTCTTTATGCCCATATTCTCCCACAGGGAACTGGGCATTGGTTACACAAACACAGCATTCATCAACTGATTATGAAACAAACATTGTGAAACACTAATGAGATACAAATACAGTTCAGGAAGAAATTCTAGGCTTTAGATGAGTTTGTGGAGGGGCAGGCCACCTTATCCTAGCCGGGTTCTAGAGCAAGTCTCCTACTACTTGAAGCTCAGAGAAGCTAAACAGAGCCCAGCTCAGGGTGTGAGGCATCCAGAGAGGAAAAGCAACCATGAGGAGCACAGCTTTCCCTAACACTTGTGTTCCCTAACACTTATCCTTTCTAAGACTGCAGTTCGATAACCACTTTTTCTACCACCGTGGCTAAATAGTTTACAAGATGATATATGAACAGATGTCAAGGCCCGCACTGCCCAAAGGACAAACCCCAAAGCTGGAGGGTCTGAATGATGAACAATTAACTGCTGATCTACTTTGGTTCTAGTTGGAAAGATAATTTCAACAGCTGTGAGACAAAAGAAAAACCCTACTCAACCAAGGACTTAAAAAGCGTAACAGTTCTAGTAACAGTTCTATCTCTAATGCTACAGAAATAACCTAAAACCCAAGAATAAAAGAAAAGACACTGTAGGACACAAAATAAACATTCACCTACTGAGAACTAGGCAATAAAGGACACTAAGTGGAAACAGGAGGAATTTATGCCACATATTAAAACAAATTCAGTATTAAAAACAAGTCTGGAGATTCCTCTCTGAAAATAATAATGAAAGAAAAATATACAATGGCCTTTCTTAGGTTTCTGAAATCCATGACCAGCCTTGGGGCAGGAGGACTAAATTATCCATCCTGGTCGCTTCCAGCACTCACTAATTAGCGTTAGTCATCACTTTTACCTCGTGGCCACCAGTAAGGAAGTTCTCGATACACTGTGGAGCAATGCGCACATCTTAAAATATAAAAGCTTGCTTTGACGCACACTATTTTATTTTTCTCAAAAGTCACCCAGATCTTTTGTCCATAGGAAAATGACAACATGAGAGTCAAGAGCGAAGTCCGAAAAGTACAAGATCGTCCTCCTCACTTACCTGGTCTTTCTCGTGGGGGAGGAGGCTGACCGGCGGGAGCGAGGACGGCAAAGCGCTGGGGTACTGGGGTGCCACCTTGGCCTTGCCATCTAAGCCCCCGTAGTTGACCCTGTACTGCGGCCCTTCCTTCAGCAGCCTCCCGTTGTTCACAGCGCGCTTGGCACCCAGGCGCAGGCGCTGCTGAAAGGCCGGGTTGGTGGTGGTGCTGGAGAGATCACTCTGACTTCTCAGATACTTCTCGATGTTCTTCAAGGAGGAGCCATTTGGCTCCTCCAGTCCTTCAATTGCTCTCCTTAAAAGTTTATTCCAATCTACATTGCGGAGATCATTACATGATCCTCTCGACCCCTTGGCTGACTTCGGAAAAGTGCCCGGTTTAACCGCTGAGAAGCGCCCAGGGTTGTCCGGGTCCTTGTAGGAGGCAAGGCCTTTGTTGGTGACTCTGAGTACGGAGCCATCCTGAACGCTGAGCTCCAGCTGTTCAGAGACGGTCTTCTTATCTAACCCATGGGAGGCGCTGACCGCATGGCAGATTCTCTCTTCAGAGGGCCTTTGCTTTTGCTTTTTGATTTTCTGTATAGCTTCAAGAATCCACTCTGTATAAAGTGGGTTTGCAAGTTTTACCATGGTTGACAAATGACTTCTTCAACACAAAAGTTACCCATAGAGGTTCTCCTTGTATTTAACAGAACTTGCACATTTGAAAGTCTTTTACAATTCAACAAATGGGCAGAGTATTCCAGACCATATTAAGCAACACCTTAAAAACATCCATCCTTAAGAGATTCACAAGAGGACAAACAGGAGGAGAGAGTTGTCTTGTTTTACCAACAGGAAGGACTGCATTCAAGTGAAGAACATCTTTCACTAGGAAACCAAGACCTTAAAGGATAAAAAGGAGAGAAAATACTCTTAATAATGGAACTCTTCCAAATAAAGATTTCTTGGTATTAGTTTTCCAGATGCAAAATGACCATACAAGTAATGACAGGCTGGCACTGTGTAACATAGCCACAGTGACTGTATTTTCTTACCAGAAATTGGGTCATGGTCTAAGAAGGAATTTTTTTTCAAGAATTTTTCATTTATTTACGTGAAAATCATGTAAGATAACATCTAAATTATATAGTTAATGGATTGTCTATTGAAATTAATAAATTATGCCAGTACATTAACATGTATTGGTTTTCACAACATAAAATCAACAATAAAAATCCAATGTGAGCCAGGCATTGTGGCCTGTAATCCCAGCACTCAGGAGGCTGAGGCAGGAAGATTGCCTTCAATTCGAGGCCAGCCGGGGCTACACTGTGAGTTCAAGACCAGGCTGAATTACATAGCAAGACCTTGTCTCAAAAAAAAAAATCTTGGAGCTAAAAAAATCAATAGGGGTTGGAGGGAGGGCAGGGGTATGGGGAAAAAATGAGAAGCAAGATCTGTCATGTCAAGGTACAAAATCCCAATGAAAAATGTAACTGTACTGTATACTTAAAAAGTACCAATAGGGGCCAGGGATTTAGCTCAGTGGTTCCAGTGTCTGATTTGCAAGTGCAAGGACCCGAGTTCAATCCCAGGTACCAAAAAACAAAACAAAACAAAAAGTATCAATAAACTCAATAAGATTAAAAAAAAAGCAATAGGGATTTAGTTCAGTGGTTTCAGCACCTGCCCTGCAAGCACAAGGACCCAAGTTCAACCGCTGGTACCGAGAGGCAAAAAAAAAAGCAATAATCCTACTTTCATCTAAGTATTGTTATTTTGCAAGTGTCACACATTACAAAATTTCCCACCTAACCACTTTTCTTTTTTTCAGCGCTGACAGTCAAACTCAGGGACTCACACATGCTAGGCAAAAGCTCTATCAGCGAGCTACACCCTCTAGTCCCAAACTCACCCTTCTATGGAATCAGATCCTCTTATGCCTACACATAGGGTCTGTGATACATCTGACCCACAGGCATGAGAACTGAAATGAATACAGAAACGTGACACGTGGACTTTAAATAATGCAGCACTCTGGTTATCTTAGTATCCAGTCAAGAGTTCAGTGGGCAGCTCCATCCAAGTCCCTACAGTTTGCTCCAGTGGGGTGGTGGGGAGCTCTGAGAGATCCAGGGACCAAGAGCAAAGGCCCTGGCCTCAGAACTGCACCCGACCTGGGCTCCAATCTTGTTCTCCAGTGACAATGCCCACAGTTTCACTGCTTACAGTGTGCTCACTTGTTGTGTACTCTTCAGGACAATTTGAGCGGTAAGGAGGCTCAGAGGAAGGCGGAATTAACCGAGATAACAGCCCATAGCAGCCTTAAAGCTGAGGGCATATTTACAGCACTGCCCTCCCCTGAGCCTGAACATGCTAGCTGGCTCTTCATGTGAGGAGAGACGGGAACAGGACAGCCACAGGGGAGACTCACAGAAAGTCACTAAGTCTCTGTCACTCTGCTCGCAAGGCAAGGCTAGTGCAGTAGCCTCCATCTACAGGAGATGCACGCCAATCTGAGACCACTCCTGAGACCACAAGGAATCTCAGACTCTTTTGTACTATACTGTTCTCTCCTAATCATAAGCACAAAAGTAAATTTTGTAAATTAGGTACTGCAAGTGATTTAACAACGCAGTAGTTCATAAAATGATTATAACAATATACTGTAATAAAAATTATTTAAAATTTATGAACTAGCCAGGCATGGTGGTTCACTTCTTTAATTAAGAGCAAACTGTGAGGCTGAGGCAGGAGAGTTGCAAGTTTGAACACAGTCTGGGCAACTTAACAACTTAATGAGACCCTGCCTCAAAATTTCAAAAATAAAAAGAATGCAGAATCAGGGCCAGAGATTTGGCTTGGAGGTTCCACCGCCTGCCTCGCAAGCACAAGGGTCTGACCTTGATTCCTGGTACCAAAAAGTAAATAAAATGCAGAATCCAGCTCAATACAAAGGCCCTGAGTTCAATTTTCAGTACCCCCCCAAAAAAAGTATATAAGTGAATTATTTATTTCTGAAATTTTCCATTTAATATTTTTTGGGACTAGTGGTCTGCCATGAGTTCAAAGCAAACTACTAGTAAATGAAACTATAGAAAGCAAAACCATGGGTAGGGGAATTATTGAGAGGACGAAGTAAACACAGTGTCTAAAACTGAGCAGCCAATAAGCACTTCTACCAAGCATAATCTCTAAGGCTGGGGATTTAGCTCAACAGAGCTGGGGCTTTAGCTCAGTGGTGCCACTGCCTGCCTCATTCTGAGTTTGATCCCCTGTATCAAAAACAAAAAAATTAATAAACACAATCTCTAAACACTTTAAAAATATTTCATAGAATAAAAGATAAAAGCTATTTGTGGTTATCTACGGAGATAAGAATACACCTACTACTTTTTAAAATATTTTCACCAAAAAAACACTTTGGCCGGATAAGACAGGCTTTCAAATACTTGAAACATTATCTTTCAAAAACCACTTACAAGCTGGGTGTGGTAACGCATACCTATAATCCCAGCACTCAGGAGGCTGAAGCAGGAGGGACCCCTGTGAGTTCAAGGCCAGCATGGGCTACAAAGTGAGATGCTGTCTCCAAAAAAAAAAGAAAAAACTAACAGCTTTGCATGGCAGACCATGATCTCAGCACTAGGGAGACTGAGACAGAATCGTGTGTTCAAGGTCTGTCTGGGATACACTGTAAATTCAAGGACAGCCTAAGCTACACAGTGAGTCTATGTCTCAAAAGCAAACAGCACCCAAGCCTACTCTACCACCAGCTCCAGCTACTAAACTGCTAACATCTGACCTCCCTGACCCTTCCATGTCATAGTCTCCCAGCACTGGGTACTTAACTAGGTTGCTTACTACTCTGTCTAATGTTTATTCTAAAATCTAGTAGTCCAAGCCTTATTCAATTATAAATTCAATCTCAAATTGCAGGAATGTCCTTACCAGCCCTGCCACACTGGCTATGCTCAGGACGTAGTCCAACTATAAAAAATGCCCAGATATGTTTTCAAAACTGCTGTCAAAATGAATCTTCCCAGCCTTCCCTTTTACAAGTTTAAATGCTGGGATTTAAAGTTTATTAAAGTACAATTTCATCTTGTTGCTTTGAGTCTATCTTCCAACCTGCTAAAGATTGTTTTGAATCTTGATTCTGTCATCAATGTCATCTGCAAATCTAATAAGCACTCCCTTTTGTGTCATTATATAAATCACTGACAAAAATGTTAGGCTTGGAACACAGTGTGTTTAGGAATGAAGCTGCTGGCTTTCGCTGTGCAACCACTGTCAGGATAGAACACAGGAATCGTTCTGTGTCAATAAGTTTAGAGCAGGAAACTGATCTCTCCAAAGTAAAATGGTTTGGCACAAGTTCATCAGAAGGCATTTCACTGTATCCAAGTAATTATTTCACCTTTCATCATTTATTCAGGATGAATCACAACTAATTCAATTTGATTGCACAAAATACAACTTCAGGAAGCAAGAGAAGAGGTCATAGGAAAATGTCCAATATTGCAGTTGCCTTTGGACACTTTGGTTACACAAGCAAATGGGCATACATTAAAATAAAACATTTCATAATTAATAAATACCCGAAATGTACCTTTATGACAAGTTTTTACCACAGTCTGTATCCACAATCAAAATAATCTTTCATATCCATTACTGACACATTTCAGTAAGACTGACATTTTATATCTTAAAAATGTAATAAAAGGGAAAATACCAGAATTGGAACTCCAAACGTTTTTAACAGTCTGTGACAAAAGTGAAGATTGTCCAGGTCTTCAGGCAAGTCTGTCAAAAGAAAAAGAGTAAATATTTACTTGGGCAGAGCGACAACTCTAATTCAGCAACAATCTACAGAGGTCTCCAATTATTATAAACAAGTACAAACAACTCCCTACTAATACTCTACAACTAATAAAAACAGCTGCAATGTGCTGATCAATACATTTGGTAGTACATTAATTCCTTCAAACCACTGAAGTATATTTATAAACACAGAATTCAGGACAGTAAATAAACCCCCAAGGAAAGCACCCAAAGAAGTAAATTTCACTTTTTTTTTTTTCCACAATACTAGCCATTGAACGCAGGGCCTGGTACTAAATAAACTACATCTCCCATCCTTTTTTATTTTTTTATTTTGAGATAAGTTATCCCTAAGTTGCATAGGCTGGGCTTGAACTTGAGATCTTCCTGCTGAGGGCTAATTTCAATTTTTAAGCCAGATCTGTCCTCCACATTTTATTTGTTCACAAAGCATCACCATAAAAACATGCAAGAGTCAAGAATGTGCATGTCATCCCTGCTCAAAGGCAATGCTAAACTCCACATATTCCAATTTGCATATGTGTTGCTGAAGCAACTATGCGTTGCCCAAATTTTAAAAATCAGGGTTGTAATTAGATGCCTAAGAAAGTGGCATCTTTCTTATAGTGGAAAATTTCCACTATTACTCAAATAGCCAGGCAAAGTTAACATTTTATGGGGGCAGGAGAAATCAAAAGTTGTTTTAAGATCAGCATTAACTTTCCCACGTAGCATTATATGTCCCAAAGGCCACCTGGCCTCTAAGAACTGACAATTTCAGAAATATGACCAACAGCTTCACCTAAAAGATAAATGTACCAGTTTCTACAGTGGTAAGTATACAATGACACAGTTCACATTTTAGGATGTAGTTATCATTTGTACCTCAGAAGCAGAAAATAACTTTAAAGGTGACTGTAAATAACTTTATTTTGATCTTATACAAAACCAAGCAACCTTAGATCTTCCTTCTCCCCTCCCCCAGCCAGCAGCACACACCCCACTCCTCAATTTAATCTCAAAATTAGCTCTCATCTGACACCAACCAACAGAGTTAATTAGGCAGAAGCAGATGTAACTCAGCAGCTCTTTGCTACAAGCAGAATCACAGTGTTTAAAAAAAAATACATAGCTAGGAGAGGAACAAAATCAGAAGTCTCTTATCTGTAGCCAATTCTCAACTAAATACATGTATATTATCCACTTTGTATATTATCCACTGCAAATTTTTTAATCTTAGGCTGATTTGTTTCTGACATCCCACTGGTCCCACTGTAAATTGGGATAAGCTAAGAGAATGGATTGAAAACCAATTTCCTGTTAGCCTAAGCAGTATCTAACCAAAGAGACAAATCTACAGGAAAAAAAAATGCATAATTCATTCAAAAGCAAATAGAAATGATTTTTTTCCTGACCCAGAATTATCCACACCACTTCTCTTTTTTCAGAGCACTGGGACTTGCTTCTTATGGAGATAGGACATTCAATCACAAGCTAAAACTAAAATCATTATTCTCTTTTCATTTTTTTCTATAAAAATTGAAAGTTGAGCTAAAAGTCTATCAAAAATGTTGTAAATCATTCCCTATTAACTCAGGGAATTCATGCCACATAAAATTAAATTATTTTATCTTCTAAGGTTGTGGAGCATTTTATTTTTAGCTACCAAAAAAAAAAAATCAGCAAATTATATGGTTGTATCAAACTGTCTTGTACCATTATTTACATCATTCATTACAAACTATTCTAAACAGATCTACAGAAATGCTCAGTTCAACACTGAGCTTTTAGCTCCACTGGTATTATATAAATATCAACACTATTCAGAAATATTCACGTCAGCATTAGGAGAGTCAAAATATCCTGGATCATAAGTATTATGTGAGTCTTCCTCTAAGCTTTTTCTAAAGCTGTGTTATTTCAAAATCAATGTCATAACACTTGAGTCATGAGATTACAGATGCACCAAAAACAGCAGGAAAAAAAAAACAAGATTAATAATAGAGTGCTCTTTTTTCATCCTGAGTTTTACTTGCTAAGATATTTTTAGCAGTTTTATTTTTATAAGATCCTGAATTCTTTTTTCAAAGCCCACTGCATAACTTAGTGAACATTCACAAATCTTAACAATAGCGTCCAAAAACTATAACATAAACAGCTTAGCAGAGGGGACCTTGAATTCTCTTTCCTCTCTCAACACACAGCATACCCTACTGGCACACTGGCTCAAAATAGCATCCTCAGTATCTGTCACTATGACGACCTCAAACATCATCCAAGGGGCAAGGGAAGATTGGTGAGGTGGATACCATTAAAACACAACATACGGGGCTGGGGATCTGGCTCAGTGGTTCTACTGCCTGCCTGGCAAGTGCAAGGACCCAAGTTCAAGACCCAGTACCAAAAAACAAACAAACAAATAATAAAACACAACATATGCATGTTTGGAAATGTCATAATGAACCCTATTAACTTGTACAATTAATATGAATTAATTTAAAAACCTATCGTCCATATGATGAAATCTGCTAACTTTCAAGTCTTAAATCCATCTATTTCCCTGAAAATTAATGCTTGAGGCCCAGAACATGTGAAATGGAAGCTGAGATTATAAATATGGATCAAAGAATAATCACCAAATATTTAACAAAATAAATGCAGTCCTGAGGCACGTGGCATGGGGACTATAAAGCAAAGCTGGAGACAGAACAGGTGAAAAGCAATTAAGAAACAACAAAGTATTGTGTGGCAGTTCTGCAAAAAGCTAAGCATAAATTACTATATGACCCCATAAGAATTGAAAACAAACACTCAAGTACAGGTAAACATATATTTCATACAGCACTATTCACAGCCAAAATGCCCATGAGCAAGTGAACGGATGATCAAAATGTGGTATATCCATGCACTGCAATATTATTCAGCTACAAAAAAAGGACTGAAGGACTAATAAGTGATTCTACAAAGAGACTGAACTTGAAATCATTATGCTGTAACAGAGGCCAGAAACAAAAGGCCACATATATTAATTGATTTGCAAGAAACACCCAGAGGGGGGAAAAAAAAAGAAACACCCAGAGAGCTGGGCATGCTGATGCATGTTGATGCACGCCTGTAACCCCACCATTCAGGAAGCTGAGACAAAAGGATCACTAGTTCAAGGCCAAATGGGGCTGCATATTGAGTTCAAGGCCAGGCTGAACTACATAGTGAGATCATGCCTCTGAAAAAAGAAAGAAACACCCAGAGTAGACAGTCCAAAGAAAAACTGCTAGGGCCAAGAGAAGGAAGACATGGAAAAAAACTGTTTAAAATGGATGGTGTGTTTTATTTTGGATTGATACAAATGTGCTTTTTACATTTTTTTTTTATTCGTACATGTTTGGAGTACATAATGATTACACTTACTGTGGGAGGTTTGTACATGTACCTAGAACATCTTAATTCTTTTTTATCCCCTTCCCCTTTCATCCTTCTCTACTCCCACCAACTCTTATTACCCTTCCTATATGCAAAAGTATTCTGCCTTAAAGGATAAACTTGTCACTTGTAGGAAAACGGATGCATGAGACCATAATGTTAAGTGAAGTAAGTCAGACACACAAGTTTAAATATTGCATGCTTTGTCTTATATGAGAAACCCAAAGTATATAAATAAAGAGCAAAATAAAAGATAATACAATGCAGGAAGAACTTTTTCAAACGCTGTGAATGTACTAAAAGCCATTCAATTGTTCATTTTTAAAAGGCTCATGTGAATTTCACCTCAATAAATTGTTTAAAAATATGGAAATAACAAAGCACCAAATTTATAAAGTAATTCCAACTAACCAGGCATGGTGACTTACACCTGTAATTCTAGGACTCTGGAAGGCTGAGGTAGGAGAATACTAAATTCAAGTCCATCTTGGCCACCTTAGCGAGACACTGTTTCAAAATAAAGGGCCAGGGATTTAACTCACTCAGTGGCACTGCACCTGCCTCACAAGGGCAAGGTCCTGAGTTCAATCCCCGGTACCAAAATAAAAAAATCTACAAAGGGATGGAGATGCAGCTTCATGCCAAAGTCCTGGTGATAAATTCCAGTTGCTTGCTAACATTTATTGTGGGCCACTGGTACATGACTAGCTAGCTTCTCAGGAAAGCTTAAAACAACTCTGTAAGATAGTACTGTTGCTGCAATTTACAAAAGGAAAATTGAGCCTTGACTGAGCTGAGATCTCAGAGCCGCTAAGCCATGAAGGACTATTTTGTTATGTGTTTTGAACTTTGTTGTTGTTTTGTTTGGTTGTTTTTGGGTTTTTTTTGGTACCAGAGATCGAACTTGGGTCCTTGCCCTGGCCAAATCCCTGGCCCCTTTGCTATTGTTTTGAAATGAGGTCTCACAATGTTGCCCAGGCTGATCCCAAATCCCTGGGCTCAGATGATCCTCTTGCCTCAGTCTCCCAAGTGCTGAGACTATAGGCACAGGCAACTATGCACAGCTTATGTGCCAAAGCACAAATTCTTTGCTCTCTCCCCAGTGTTTTCCAAACAAGGCCCTTTGGGTTGCTTGCAGTTAAGAATCTTTGGAATTAGCTGCACATACCGACTTGTGGGTTAAACATTCAGGGCCACCATAAGCCCCTTACATCCACAAGAGCAGCTCCACTCTTAACAGTTTTGTTTACTGGGCTCCCCCATAAGATTCCCTTCAGAGACAGGGCTCCCCTGATCCCAAAATGAAGTCTGGGAGCTGGGCATGGTGGTGCACACCTGTAATTCCAGTGCTTGGGAGGCTGAGGCAGGAGGATCACTGTGAGTTCGAGACCAGCCTGGGCTACATAGTGAGTTCCAGGGCAGTTGCAACTACATAGCAAGACCCTGTCTCAACAACCGCCCCCCCGCCAAAAAAAAAAAGAAGTCTGGAACAACTGGAACTATTCCTTGTTAAAAACAGAGTGGATGGGTAGAACACCCCTGGGATGGATGGAACTTAAACCA